AAATAACCCGCGGATGCTAAAGTATACACGACACCGCAAAAGTAAATCCATAAGAAATTTTATTCGTGTCAAATAAGTACACCGTAGTTCAGTTTGAGTACGTTTGATTAAGAGATATTTAATTTGCCAATAGAAAAGACGTTTTGAGGCATTCGTAATACAGTCGAGATTTAGACAGGAAGAGGATATAAAAAAACGCTCTACATTTTCCACATTATATGGGGAAGCAATTCTTATGATTATTAGCGCGGAGGCCGCGGGAGTAATCCTCGGCAGTGACACTGCCTTGTGACATAAGCCGGAAAAATCTAATAACAATAAAATAAAATTGCCGACGGTTTGTAAATTTAAAAAGCACAGGGAGGGAAATTCGTTTTTCGCACAGTAACAAGCATTATCGTTACTTTACATTTACCTTTTAATGGCATCATGAATTTTGATAATATATTTAGGACTGAATCGAACCATTTCTTATTGGAGAATATATGAAGCGACAAACAACAGAATGTATGTATTTTATTATGTATGAATCTACAGAATATGAAGACAAATTTTCGAATAACTATCTTCTAGCGGTCCCAAAACCCGTGGCATTTATTTAAGCGTTTTTGTACGATAAACAAATTTAATTTTTTTAATCTAATATTGAATCAGCGCCAAATCCGTTTTGGTAATTCTAATTGCGTTTTATCTTCAGCTCTAAGGCATTTAAATCAACAATATTCCTCAGTAATATTTCCTTATGGTATTACTATTAAAATTTCACCTTTATTCCGACTTGAGTCTTCCTGTGTTTCATTCGCATTGAAAACGACCAAACGCCCTCTGCCGGGAAATTTGAATGCTTACCTTTTGTTTCCATTTCCAAAGACTCATTTTGGTTGCGAACACCTTAACGTTCCTTTAAATTATTTAAACGGCTTTGAGTCGTAAATTTTAAGGCAGACTTTAATTGTTATTTTAACTGCAAGCTCAACTTAGTCTCCTGTAAGGTGGGGATCGTGGAAATATGTCTTAATTCGCCACCCTATGACTTATGTTTCATTGAAATTAAATTGCTTTTGTTGCTTTCGCAGATACAGATTAATAAACGAATCTTTATTACGTTTCCTTTTTTGAAAACAAAAATTAGAATTACAAAAATGTAATTTATTATTTTAATTTTAGCAATGAAATAAGTAATTGCATGTTCTTAAGTATGACTTTACAGTTATTTAACTTACAGAATATCTGCACTGCTACAATATACCGGTAAGGGAGTATACATTTCAAATTTGAATGAAGTTGTTTCTTTTACTGAGTGCATGAAATTGAAGAGAAATACAATTTGTCTCGACCCTTCCGTATTCGGGGATCATATTGACGCGTCGAAAAAAAGACGTTATATTCTTTTGAATCTTGAATGAAATCGGATGCACTTACGTTATCGTATCTCAGAAACGCTTGAATGTCAGTTAATTACTTGGAACCATTAAATTGCGTAACCGAAATGGATCCTTTTGTTTATGGGTTCCGATCCTTTCAATAATCTATCAGCCGTTGCATCAGTTCAGTTTCGTTATAATAATAATTGTCCATAATTACATATTCCCTCGATCGAAGCATCGTTTTTATTGTTATTTTATTTATAAAGTAATAATTTTTCGTTGGGCGCAACTCTATTAGGTTTTTAAATTTGATTGATCTGATATAAAGATCGATTTAATGATTGACTGCTCTGCTCTTACGATCATCTTTTCTTTTTTTTCATAAACGATTTCTTTGTATATCTGTAGAAGGCATATTTAAATTACAAATTGTAATTCTTGTTTCATACAAAGTTTGACTTCCAAGAAACATATAACAAAATCAACGTACAATTTAAAAAAAAACTACATAACTATTACACTATCATATAGAAAATATTACATTCAATTAATACAACAGTATACTACGTTAATGTGTATAGATATATTGTTAAGATGTGTCTGTGTGTGAAATTAACTATCTAAACCTAGTTAAGATGTTATCTTCTCTATTGTTAGAATTATACAATTGTAAGACAATAACAGTGAATTAAATGATTAAGTAACGTCTAAGTTTGGAGAGTTAATGAGGCTTGTAAGTAGCAGAGGACATGTAACAATAAGAGGATAGATCGCTAGTACGCGGGGACCACCGGGGCCAGCTTTTGTTGAGGCGCCTCCACTCGCAAATCGCGAGATGCTCAGATACGCCGCACATGCCGACACGGGCTCTTAATGACCGTCCCTCCGCTCAAGTAATTTACGTCGCATGTGCGAAACCGCTCTTAACTAAAAGCCCTCTAAATTACACCATACACTACGATCGATTCCTTATTAATCTCGAAGGCATAACTAATCATTTTTTCGCTTAAATTTAATCGCATCGGGTAATCTTTAGTGGAAACATATAATATTTACGAATCTTCACTGTATACGAGTAAGTGGAAAAGTTACGTTTGGCTACTAAAGTCTGTATCTTGAAGTCAGAATTCTCCAAACGCAAAATGTAAAAGTACTTGTATAAAGAAGTAGAATTGTTAAGTAAAGGGTCAGACAGAAACTTTTACAACCTAACTAGATTAGGAAATGGCAAGAAGCGTTTACATTGAACCAACTTAAGCGCAAGGGTTTCTACGAGGGGACCTCGGATGTACCTTAGGCTGTTTTGTTTTAATTCGATTTTGTGATGCATCGGAGATGTTTATCAAAACTGTTAAGTTTGTGTTCAAAAGTTATTTTGTGTTGATTATTCCTGTAATCCTAGCAACAAATTTGCTTTGTTTACATGAATTGTGACTATCAATAGCATAATTTAACGAGATATGTCCTAGATTGAACGAAATAATCAAATAAAATATGAGTCATTACTTGAAAAAATGAACCAAAACGGCAAGCAGCACAATGAACAAGACAACGTTTCAATTTACAAGATCCGCGGCCGTGATAATCCGCCGGGAGTCCGGGCACCGCTCGCGCTGGCTTATTACGTGCCTTGGCCCCGCACAACTTAACTTGTCTCCGTATTATCGTGCAGATTATTGTTAGTCGATATGCTACGAGGTTTCAACTATGCGTACGTCCTCTTTGTCTTTTGTTATATGTAAATTTTCATACTAATAAGCTTTACCGTGGATGGAATCTGCTTTCTTGTAATTTTTTTTAAATTCTGCTACAAACATTTTTACACTGGCTTGTATCTATGCTATTTGTTATCAAATAGTAGGTATAATATAACTAAATATTTCTGTATGTTTATTTCAAGTTTTCCTTACTAATGGTTTCATTAAAATAATAAACACCAGCTATATTTTCATTATAACTGATTGAATTATTGTATAATTGCAAGCGTAGGGCATTGTCGTTTTAATCGAACATAACGATTGTGGTTTGTCGTAATTATAAAGTATAAACTATGCATATATCCATTGGATTATATTTCGAAATGGCGATTTTAATTACACCCCTGCCACAATAACTGCGAGCAACAAATCTCATTGAATGGAACATGATAGTTGCGGGCCCGTAATATTGTTGGGGACTTAGCAATATGTATGTGAATCGATTAAAACTATTAATTCATAATGTAAAAGTCGATATCTCAAACAAATGTTAAGATTAAGATAAACCATAGTTATACTACGTTTTATTAATGTCAGATGTTTATCAGTTGTGTAGTCTCCCTCTCTACGAGTTACATTACATCTATTTTGAAGTCTTCATTTTCAAGATAATTTCTAAAAAAACATTGATTAGAAGTGTATATGGTAACACTTCAAGTGGTACGTTATTTAAAAATGTGTTTTTATTTGTTTGAATTACCTTTAATAATTTTATATGCAATGTAAATTTTCATCAAGGCGGTTCTTAAGAAATTCAATTCAGTTTTGTACGAGTACTGCAAAACTTTAAATTGAATTAGTTTATATTCACTTCGCAAGTCTCTTACACTTCTGATGTCATACTTTTTAAAACTTTAACATCTTGTTAGTGGTTTATGGAAGCTGTATTCATAATTCGTGAAATGCATCTTAAAAGTCATACTATGAAAAATTTAAATAATTATTCAATGTAGAAGAACCAAATTTGATCAATAGCATATAAAGTTAAATCTAAGAAAAAGATAAGTGAACAAAGCTTCGAATTTTCGTATGAAATGAGCAAGTGGCGCCATAGTCGGTGATAACAACGTGAGTTAATCAGCCTGATCCCCTTACGACCTCCATTAGATAGACTGAGCGACTAAGGTGGCTAATTGAATAAGGGACCAAATTAAACTGTGAGCCGGCATGACCTCTTTCTATTCAAATTCGACTTGTTCTTGATGCGTTCGCTTAAACTGATTTAACGTGTACATAAAGCTGTGACGTTGATATGTAAATCGATGGGTAAGATTACATCACGCGTTAATAAAGGTGACTTGATTTTGAAAGTTAACGTTGACACATTCATTAAACCTTTGTACCTTTTATCTATATTGAAAATCAGAACAATATAGTATACTTTACTTGTCTAGTCTTAAGAATACTGTTTGTTTTTAGACATCTCACATCAAAAAACTAAAAAAACAAGGATAATTTTCTAAGTACATTTGATTTTAATTAATCTTTATTTTATATTTGGGTTCTGTGGTTGTTTGAAATACACTAAATACTATGTTGGAACATAACAGAATCGGAAGTTCCTCCCCCAATCGTTTCCGTCAGGTTAGATTTAATTGAAAGTTATGCAAATCTCTCAATTCGACTCCTTCACAATGGTACCGGGATTCCGAATGAGTTAATCCGTGTTTATGTTCCTAATCGGCCCCTTGCTGACGGCCTTGTTACGGCTTTAACTCACTGTTAAATTTATACAATGCCTTTTGCGAACAATGAACCATTTATTTAAGGTAAATCATTGTTTATGTTAACTTCTTGCTGTTTCTTAATAAACTTACTAGGTGAAAACTAGCTTGGTTTGTCGACGTTAGTACTTATTTATACTGTTTTGTTGCAGCTGAATTGAAAATGGACGTGCTCAGAGAGCGGGAGGTCAAAGACAACTTGGAGAGACGACTAATGGACGAGCAGAAAATGAGAGGTTAGTTCCGTAGATGTTTTGACTACCTAAAGCTGTGATACGCAGAAATTGTTCTACCAAATGTCAAGATTAAAGGGACAATAAACTAATACAACATTTTCTTTAATATTGAAACTGTAGGTACTAAGTTACACAATACCTTCGAATTGTTACAGTGTTATTACTTTTATCGTAAAATGAATTGTCTCGAATATTCAAATTATAATAAAAGCTCTGCTCTTCTATAAAATTGCAAAATCTCTTTTGTCCGCTAGTCGTAGACACGTACCGGCGCGAAAAGAACAAACAAGGTGTAATTTCAATGCCTTCATAAATCTCCGATCACGAGCTCGCTTCGCATTCGCCAAAATTAACAAGAGATCTTATTACGGAACCATTGTCTTCCTCCGCGGCGTGTTATTTATTTCCAACATTAAAACTATTATTTTCTCATGTTACGATAACCGGTGCCTTATGTTCTGTTGCCAATTTTCTTTCCGTGCCACCGACTCATCGTTCGTTTCTTCCATAATTGTCTGCAGCAAAATGTATTATGGCTGTCTACTCGTATTAATTTCTATCATAAATCTAATATATCTTGTCAATGTTTAATATGCATATAATGCAACTAATTTAGTATAATACAAATGTGCTTAAAACAAATATTTTTTTTACAAAGATTTTAAGTATCCGAATATTATTTTTAAGAAAAGAAAATTGATAGATTTCTAAACGATTGAAACACAACCCCTAACAAATGTAAAGGTTAATTTCCAAACAAACAATACCACCCTTTCTTCGTTTATAAAGAGTATTGTAACAAGTAAAAGGAAAGCAAACTGGCTGGGGGTGACCTTTGTACAAATGTCAAACAGAACGATGACAGCGACCTGATGTCTCAAGACAAAAGGGTTGCCATTACATCAAATAACATTTCAAATTGTCTTGTTTTGAACTATTTCAATCCTCTACGGACGATGATATACGCTTGGTGCATAATGTCTAATAGCAATTTATTAACTGCTAATTTAAATACTAAGTTTGAATGTACCGTGAATTTTTATATGTAATCGTTGAGATAAAATAATATTCATAGCATAGATTAAAAAGATAAAAAGTGGATATTAGCGGAAGCGATGTGATTAGATGTGAGACATGTGTTCTAATTACGAACAAACAAAATGTTGCCAGAGTAAACATTTCAGTTCCGCTCATTAAAATAATGAATGAGCTATATGTTACACTAAATCGTTTTTATCCTACATTATATTTTTTAATAGAATTAATTCTGTCTAATTTTTTGTTATCATCATTACTTAGCTGCCGATTAAATTGTTTGCTACAATTTTAGGTCACCTCTATATTTTGTAATGTCTGCGCTAAGGCTGTTAATGGATTTCATAGACTATTTACCGCTCTTATAGCTACTGTAAAAGCTTTCTGACAACTTTCTTTCGTTTAAAGCGAAATTAATTTTGCGACTTCTGTCCGAAGTTTTCGTTCTATGCCTTTTTTAAACAGTTTTGTGTCATTATTTCCTTTTTCTTACATTATGTTAAATTTTTACTTATGTGAGGCAATGTATTTTCTAATGTAATATTCGTTACTTCGCTAGTGGTATACTTATGCTGAAATAGTTTTGTTTAAAACGTTTTGATTTTGAACTATGCAACGCTAGAGGCGGAATAAGTTCTGATATTCACATCCCATACATATTTCACACGGTGAATGAACGCGACTGCGATGTGAGCAATACTGTTAATTGCCAAAAACCAATCATCAGATAGCGCTCTATACGTCCACGCTATGAATTACGCCTTTAGTTACAAAAGCAAAGCCGACCAACATTTATTGGTACATCCACCGAATCGATCATACATATTTTAAACGCAATTGAACATAAAGCCGTTTTAATAGTATCATGGCTTGTCAATTTTTAACGAGTAGATGTAATAGTTTGAATACACTCATAATGTTAACAAAATAAACTAGATCTGTTATGCATACATTCCAACTAACATGGAATAAATGCTTTTGAGTTCATATCAGTTATAAAGTTCACTGCTCAAAGAACTAGTTAATCAACTATGTTTGACTCATTAGATAGAATGAAAAAAAAATTGCCACAAAAGGAAACAACAGATTTTTTAATCTCAAAAACTGACAAGGGATGAGTCTCATTATCACTCACCTAGAACAAATCACAGTCAACATCCTTTTGGCAAAAACTTTTCATCCAAAACGTTTTCTAATTAATGTATTATGTTATAAAAGGCTCATTACCGGCCAGTAAGGCTGCTGCAATAACAATCAATCAGGGAGGTCGATCGAAGTCTGCCAGGAAAATTGGAATAGAGCCCGAATAGAGGCCGGGCTAATCAACGGCCGCGGAGCGCACGGCCATTCATAATACATATTGTATTGAATACGCTGATATCGCATCCGAATCTAGTGGTTTCGTAATGCCCTAGTCCATTTAAACTGCGATGCGCTCTGTGGAATTATCCTGGTATTCAATTAATTAAACTATACTTCCAGCTATAGTTTATAATAACTTCTAATGCGCTTTGCAAACATATTCCTCGCTTTTTTATCAACATTTCATTTACATTATACCAATATCTTGGGAGATAGTTTTGATAAATAGATGACAATCTAATGGAAAATTTTATTTTGATGTATGAAGCGTAAATGTTACCATAAGATATATTTGAAAATCAAAGTAATAAATAGATTGCCAACTCATTAATAACACTAAAGTTGTGATTTATTCGTTTATAATTGAACTGGACACGTCTTCAATGAATATTGACTGTAAGAAGGCACACCCTTTAAGGGTCTTCATTCATCGCCAAAGGTTGTTATGCGAGTTAGTTTCAAGGGGGAGTCGAAGATGTTTGCAAGTTTCGCTTTATGATTTCCTACCGTATCCTTTAATTTAATCATTGAGAGAAATGTACACTTGCTGACGAAATTCGGAACATGAACTTTGAGATTAATGCTACCGGATGAAATTCAATTTTTATTTAATCTAGAAATATACATATGTTTTATAGAATCACTGCTTTAATACATCTTTAATGGAAAAATTCATAGCAGAATTTCCAAAACCCAAAAATGCAATGTTTACAAATAATTGTTTATGTTGTAACCAATATATATGTATGTACTTAACTCCTAAACTTAGCAATTGCATATTTTTTATCCTTATTTATAAGACGTTATTGCCTTTTAAAATTAAAACGTACTCAAGAAAGTGTTAAAATCAAAGATTTATATTGTGAGTAGGTTGTCCTCACATCCGCACCCCGACAGTGCGAGCCGCCCGAGCAACGTTTCCAAAGGACTCGGTATAATTCTCATTGTACTCGAGATTGCGTAATTAAATAACATGTAGGCCGTAACATTACGGGCGTCTTGAAAGGGTTCGCAATGGAAATGTTACGCCAATTATGTGAACATTATGCTGGGAATGGAGGGTTATCGATGTCTGTGCCCCCGTACTGCGTCACGGATACCTCTGTTACTTGGGGCATCGTGTGACGTTAGATTATTGTGTTTCATATGTGTGTTATTGCTTAGACAAAATGTTTCGGTTAGGCCGCCGACCCCGACATTATCGGAGCCCCGGGCAACTTATAAACATAAATTCATCTTCGCATTCTATATAGAATGGGGCTACTTTACTGCGTATAAGACATGCGGCTTGTGATAGTGGTACATGACTTAATCATTCAATGACTGTAGCCACAAAACAGTTTTGTTGTTACAAAATAAAACACTTTAAAATGGGCGCATACCTTTTTACAATACAATCGCACATAGTTGTGCGATTGTCGATTGTTTTGCAGTCTATTCTACTATTTAGTTGCACAACTAAAAATAGCTCATAGCAATCAAAAGGCGACTAAACTGTTGTGCAATAGTTTAGTGAAAGGTTTGCGAGCGCTCTTAATTAAAATAACACAAAACGAAACAGCTCGAAAACAAAACACGAACACTTATCTATTTGTCCATTGATGGCTTATTTGGAATGAATCTGGTCGAATGCATTTGTAAATGATCAAATGAGCATTCCCCT